TAATTTTTCCAGTAATGTTTTCCAAAAAAAATCTATACAGTGCTCCGATCCGGGAATAATTACACAATTCATCATGCTTTTAAGTGAATATGAAACATATGGATTTATCTTCTATAACACATGTTTTAATTTCTTTGAAGATGATAATAAAACAATTATCTTTGTGTATCAACTAACTCTATGTATAAGATATATTATAAACAATGTAAGAAAGTATTACGTAAATTAATATGGTGGATGCACTCGAGGTTGAATTTTCATCTCCCATAGCTAAAATTTGTAAACTTTAGAGATAAAAAAAGCTAAAAGATATTGTCAAAGAAAATGTTGACAAAGCTTCAATGTTTGAAGCTTGGATGATTTCCAATACACAATATAATGTGGGATAAAATTTGATGTATGCAAAGAATTTCTCAATTTTTGTGTGTACAATCATAAATTAAAGTGTGGAAATGGTTCCGATGTAACAAAGGTCATCAATAGGCAGACTACAATACGTGCTTACGAAAATCAGAGAGTTGTACTATTAACTGTCCAGCGAGGATGTACAAGCTATTAGAGCTTGATGAGAGTTAACAATGTTCTACATAGCGTATTTGAGGTAGCATGTGAAGCATTGGGGTTATTAACCGATGATAAAGAACTTATTGAAGGTATAAAAGAGATTGCTAAGTTAGGATTTAAGAATATGCTAAAATATTGTTTGTCCACGTACCATGAGTCACCCATAAATTGTTTTGAAAAAATTATAGGAACTCTTGGTGAATGGAATTTTATTTGATCGAATAAGAATATTTTGGAATCAAGGTACTTGAATATAAAGATAGTTTTTTAATGTATTAATCCATCTGAAACGCATTATATGAAAACAAAACTCTTTAATTGAGCACTGCATAGAAACAAATAATTCTTTTTTTGCAGAGCTTATAATCTCATGAGAAGACCTAAAGAATTTATGTCTAATTGAGATTGAAAAGTTGCTTAATTGAAATGGACGACCTTTAAAGGAATTCAAGTGCATGCCATTTGGAGATGACAATCAACTTAATAGATATCAAAATAGTTTTTTGATAGAGAAGTTAACTATGACTAAGAAAAGTTGTCATTTAATCTTAGAGGATATTTATCTACGATGAATGAAGATCAGTCGAATATATCTAATGAAATAATGGAAGTTGTGATAGCTGAAAGAGGGAGTTCTTTTTTGTCCATGGTTACGGTGGAACTGGAAAAATATTTCTCTAGAAGTCATTGTCTGCTTCTCTAAGGTCAAATGGTAAGGTTGTCCTGAATGTCGCATCCAACTACATTGTAGCATTGCTTTTGCCTAGGGGGAGGAGAGTTGAGATTTTTAATCCCTTTAGTGCTAACCGAGTGCTCATTTTGTGACAATAAAAACAATGGAGTCCGAAAGCAGACCTAATCCAACAAGTAAGTATAATCATATGATATTTATCATCTACGATGCATATATTTTCTTTTGAGACATTGGATTACACAATGAGAAATGTAATGAGGTTCTCTAATAATAAATTCATAAATGAACCATTCACAGGGAAAACATTTGTACTCAAAGAAGATTTATCCAAATTCTTTCAGTTTTACTCATAGCTTTGAGAGAGGAAATTGTAGGTGCTACCATCAAATGCTCAGAAATGTAGTTGTATTGTAAATTTTATACGTTGATCAAAAATATGAGATTGCATTAATCTACACTCTCTTACACAGACAAGGACACATAAGTTTTTTCTGATTGGATATCAAAGTCAAAGATGGAAAACTTAGACAAGTGATCGATGGAATTGCTGACATTGAAATTAAATTCTTATGCATTCTTGATTCTTGAAATAAGTTATCCACTCAAGAGTTATAGTGGACTTCACTTATCCGAACCTATTAGAGAACATGAATTTTTTTAGGATAGTGCACTATTAGCACCTGCACTCAAGTTTGTTGAATGGTAATGAATTTTTCATATCCCTTATGCAAAGCTGTTTTAAAAGTAGCTGTTGAAGATAATTGGATAACACTTTAGTTTTTTTAATTAAATCAAATATTCGGGGATCCTAAACCACAAAACAGTTTTTAAAAAGGGGGTACTGACTATATCATTGAAGAACATTGACTAAATATCTGGATTGTGTAATGATAGAAGATTAATCGTTTAGAAGTTGAGAAAGAACATTATCACGTTTCATGAATTCAATTGAGAAAAAGATTTTCATACCCCGAATGAATTTGGTATCATCTGATTCAAGACTACCTAAGAAATTCCAGAGAAAATAATTCTCAATAGTTTTATATTTTACTATGACTATTAACAAAAGTTAAGGTCAAACATTGTCTTTTGTTGTATTATTTTTTAACCAATTTAGTATTTAGTCATGGTTAGCTATATGTTACTTTTTCAGAATGAAGGCAAAGACATGATTAAAAATATTGGTTCTAGATAACAATGGAAACCTTTACAACCATACCAAAAACGTTGTGCACCCTAAAGTCTTTCAAAAAATTGGAATTAAATAAGGTTTTTTCGAGTACACTTTCATTTCCTCAAATATGATTTATTCTAATGTTGTCGTTGTGCATTGATTAAAAATTGTGTTAGAAATATATTTACTTGATTCCGGAGAATATATTACACTGAAAAAAATTGAAATCGACAAAAATTTTGTTTACCCCGTGCGTCGCACGGGTCAAAATACTAGTTTAAAACAAAGAGAGCAGAGTGTTGGTCTCAACAAACTGAACAAAGTATTGGATTGGTAAATCATAGTATAATCATAATCTCATTTTTACCCGATAAATTGTGAGTTGGAAGAAAATATGAAGAATGAAAATGAAAAGATAAAATAAAGTGAAAATAATACATTGTTTGGACGAGTAGAAAATGAAAAGACAAGAAACAACTACCATGTTGGATCATATATGAAAGTAAGATGTATAGAGGTTATGTGTATGCAGATCTTGTCATTACTTGAAAGTAGAGATGTTATTTTCAAGAGATCCCGGCTCAAGTTTCACAAATAAAATTAAAAGAGTAAATTCCATAATTGGTCCTTTATAACAAGGGGGTTTCCATATTTAGTCCCCTATTATCAAATATTACCCCCGTAATCCTTTTTTAAGGGTACCTTTCCACAAATGGTCCTTTTTTTGATCTTTTGCCGTGTTGGTGTTAATTTAAAGGCTAAAAATATAATTTGACGTCAACATTATGTCTAGTGACGTGTTCTGATATTGGTTAAGTGGATAACACAAAAATAATGACTATGATTGTGGGCTAGGATTCTGACGAAAGATAACATTTGTAGACTATAATTGTCGTAAAAAGCGACTGTAATTCACAAATGACGCAAACGGAACAGCCTTTGGAATTGTGTATGACAAAAAAGATATATTATCATTGTGAAATTACACTTTTAGCCCTCAAATTAACACCAACATGATAGAAGATCAAAAAAGGACTATTTGTGGAAAGGTACCCATAAAAGAAGGACTACAGGGATAATATTTGATAATAGAGGACTAAATAGGGAAACCCCCCTATTATAAAGGACCAATTATAGAATTTACTCAAATTAAAAGATCCTTAAAGATGATAAAACATAGGAAAGATCATAGGAGATAATATCTCACAAGTCACATAATAAACTAGAGAAAGTATAGATACAATACATATGAGAATAAACTAAAGTTAACGAAAGAAAATACTAAAGCACCAAACATATAAGACACACAACAAATACAAAAGAGTATCCGTTGACTTCTTCATCTCACATCGGCAATGCAGCCTTATATTGTGCTGATATTTAATAGCCTGAGTATCTCAACCTCTTCATCACATTATTCTAATTCTTCTTAGGTTTACCTCTCCTCATGCTCACACTCAAATGTACGTCTCTCGCATCTACATATTAGGGCGTCAACATTCTATCACCTCGCATGCCCAAAACATCTCAACCCAGTTATCCACAGGTTGAGAAAAAAGATGAGTATTTTTTCTTCATTTAGTTGGATGAAATAGTAAGAAGAAACAAAATGTGATAATATAAAAGAACATTTTTATTGTTATTTTATTGGAAATATTATGTCAATATTCATAGATTTGATTGATTATACAAAATTATTTCTAGGTTTAGGTTGAACTTAGTATTTTTTTCTCACCTCCCCTTTTTACTATACAAAAGAAATATGGAGTATAACTTTTCTTTTTACATCCTCTATCCAAAAATTATTTTTTGTTCACTATTCATATTATCAAACTTTATTCACTTTGTTAGCCTATTTTCGTTACCTATTTGATAAAATAATATATTATGTCACTTCTAGTTTTGTTAATTTTTTGATGTAGTTTTTAAATATAGAATTTTTATTTTTAAATTCTACACCATTTTTCATATACAACGATTTGAAAATAACTTCAGTCAAACATCATAACGTGCAAGAGAAAGATAATTTTTGAACGGAGGGAGTATATTCATTCTTTGCCTCTATTTTTCTTTCAAACAAACAAGTTGTCAAGATCATAGTTAATTGAAAATAATGTCTCTTTTTATTTTGTTTTGATGTATTCTGTAATACTTTAGTAACTATTTTGCTTCAAAGAACGTACATTTTCAGTACTAATAACTACTTTGCAGTTGTAGGATCTGTTAAATTGATCCCGCAATCTCCCATTAAAAAAATCAACTTAATGTTATTATAACACAAGGTTTTTGGCACAATTCAAATACCATTTGATTAGTGTCAAATAATCAAATGCATGTAGTTCTACACTCCAACCCGAAAAAAAATTAGTGTTTAGATTAATAAAAATTAATAAGAGAATAGTGAGAAATGAGAAGTAAAAGAAGAAAAGGCAAGGAAAAATCCATCCTTCTAGCCTCTTTTCTTTTCCACAAAAAAAGCATTTTGTACAGTTTGGTTGGGAGAGAAAATGACTGGGAAGAGAACTTAGAACTCAAACGTTCTGAAGTAAAAAGTTCGTTGCAGAAAACCTCATTCCCCTGCACTCATAGATGACTCAACCAGAGACATTGCTGGAAGTCGAGGAGGGGTTATTAGTCTTATGATGATAACATCACAGAGGCATTTTATCAAACACCTTATAAGCAGACGAAAGAATCTTCTTTCACTCTCAATGGCGCAGCAATCAAGGCTCTGCTCCTACTTTCCGCATTCAGAACTCCGGGTAGCGCCGGAAAAGGGCCGTCTTTATGTGTCTTTCTTCTGTACCCTCATCCACCTCTACCTCCGTTGCCGCCTGTTCTCGAAGGCCCAGGCCGTTTTCTCCGCCATGCGCGGTTGCAATTTGGTCCCCGACCTCCGTTCTTGGAACCGCCTGCTGCTCCAATTCAACACTTCTGGCGCTGTTGATCAGGTGACGTTTCTCTACTCTGATATGCTCTCTTGTGGAGTTGTTCCGAATGTGTACACCTGGAACATAGTGATGCATTCTCTCTGCAAATTAGGAAACATTGATCAGGCTATGGAGTTGCTTAGGAAGAATGAGAGTGATACTGTTAGTTATAATACTGTCATACGGGGCCTTTGCAGAAAGAGGCTCGTGGAAGATGGGTTCGGGCTGGTAAGCGAGATGGTCAAGAAGGGTGTTGCTGTGGACACTTTTACTTGTAATATAGTCATTAAGGGGTTTTGCGAGATGGGTTCTCTTCAAAAAGCAAAATGGGTGATGGAAATGTTTTGCCACGACGGTCAAGGTATTCCTAAAGATATTGTGGGGTTTAACACCATTATACATGGCTGTTTTATGGCTCATGAAATGAGTGATGGTCTTGAGATCACAGAGGGTATGAGCCGTGAGGGGGTGTGGCCTGACAATGTCACTTACAATATTTTGATCAATGGGTTTTGTGAGTTGGGAGATTTTGATTCTGCCAAGAGTCTAATGGAAGAACTCTCGGAGTCCTGTAAAAATGTTGAGGTTTGCGATGGGGGTTCTCTTCCTAGTGACAATGGTCAAACTGCAGAAAATTTAGGTAGAGTGTTAGTTGTAAGACCTAATCTCATTACGTACACTACGCTGTTTAGTAAATTCATTAAGAAGTCCGAGATTGAGAAAGCACTATGTATATATGAAGAGATGACTAAGAATGGGGTCTCCCCCGATTCTGTTACTTATAGTTCTCTCATACATGGCCTTTGCAAACATGGAAGGGTTGTTGAAGCCAAACAAGTCGTAGAGGAGATGAAGATTGTCGGGGTGGATCCTAATCATTTTACGTACACCATTTTGATTGATTATTTACTCAAACAAGGGGATGTGTCTGCTGCCTCTGCCCTTCAATGCCAGATGGTGGTTCGTGGAATAAGATTTGACAGCGTGATCTTAACCTGTTTGATGGATGGGTTGTTTAAAGCTGGGAAACCTAGGGATGCTGAGGAGATATATCAAACTCTTCTAAATTTCAAGATGCATCTAAACCATATCACTTATACAGCATTGTTAGACGGGCGGATCAAATCTGGCGGCATGGAGAGTGTAGAATTCCTGTTCCAAGAAATGGAAGAGAAAAACATTGTGCCCAATGCCTTTACGTTTTCTTCTGTAATTAATGGCTATGTTAAAAGGGGGCTTCTTGATGCAGCTATGGCTTTGATGAAGAAGATGGTTCACTACAATGTCATGCCCAATGTATGCATATATGGTAACATGATTGACGGGTGCTTCAAGGCTGGTAATCAAGACATGTCTGTCTCCCTCTACACGGAGATGAAATTGTGTGGAGTTTTGGAAAATAATTTCATACTGGATGCTTTTATAAACAATTCTAAAAGACACGGAAAGATGGAAGAAGCAGAGGCCTTTATAGGTGAAATGGTATCAATCGGAGTCAAACCTGATCATGTTAACTATACATCGCTGCTGGATGGGCTATTTAAATCAGGAAAACACTCGGCTGCTCTTGAGTTGGCCCAAGAGATGAAAGATACAGGTTTTGGGTTTGATACAGTTGCTTGCAATGTGATACTGAATGGGCTCTTACGGAGTGGGCAGTATGAAGTGCAGTCCGTCTATGGTGAAATGATACGATTCGGTTTAGAACCCGACGTTCTGTCTTTCAACACCATGATCTATGCTTGCTGCAAGGAGGGTAAAATGGGAAATGCTTTCAATCTTTGGAATGAGATGAATGTGCATGGACTGAAGCCTAACTCAGTTACTTGTAATATTATGCTGAGGGGATTATGTGAAGTTGGTCAAGTGGATAAAGTGATAGATTTGTTGAACAATATGCAGACTATGGGTCTTCAGCCTACCCGATCTATTTATAAAGTTTTGATCGGCGTTGCATCAAAATATAGAAAAGCTGAGACGATCTTAAGAATGCACGAGCGACTTATAAGCATGGGGCTTAAGCTTGACCAAACAGTTTACAACACACTCATAAGTGTATTATGCAGGCAAGGGATGACCGCCTGTGCAAAATCACAACTGTTGAAAATGAGAGAGCAGGGAATTTTTGCTGACACTATTACTTATAATTCCTTTATTTACGGGTATTGCAAAATATCCTTTATCGATAAAGCTTTAGAAACATATTCCATAATGCTGGTTGAAGGGGTTTCTCCTAGTATTGCGACTTACAATTATCTCCTTGAGGGTCTAACGGCATCTAGAAGGTTTCAAGAAGTAGACGGCGTACTTAATGAGATGAGGCTTAAGGGTCTTGTCCCTAATTCTAACACCTATGACACTCTAGTCTCAGGCTATGGAAAGCAAGGGAATAAAAAGGAAGCTATACGGCTCTACTGTGAAATGATAACGAAAGGCTTTGTTCCCCGTGTTAGTACTTATAATGTTCTTATTGGTGAGTTTGCAAAGGTTGGGAAGATGAAGCAAGCTCAAGAACTCATGCATGAGATGCAAGCTAGGGGAGCAAAACCAAATGCTTCAACGTACGATATACTTGTTGCAGGATGGTGCACACTGTCAAAACAAGCAGAACTTGATAGATACTTCAAAGTGTCTTGCCAAGCCGAGGCAAAGAGGTTACTCAATGAGATGAATGAAAAAGGTTTTACACCAAACGAATCCACCCTTTGTTGTATAAATCCAGCTCTTAGAAAACCAGGAAAACAAAACCCGTGGCACTTTAATAAATATTACCAGGGTAAAGTTTAGTTGACTGTTCCTCGGACGGGTGAATTTGAAATCAAATGGAAAGGATTTGTTTAGGAAATTGAAAAATCAGTGGCTGACCAGCTGGAATATTGGTTGAAAAGGCCTACAAGAAACTTGGTTTGCAGGGTGGCTGGAATGTCACTGGAAAAGGCATGTGATCATTTACATGAAGGTATGCTATGTTGCTGCTGGCTTTACAATTCCTTCTGACCTCATTATCTTTTACTCTGCTTTTGTTTTCTCTTACTAGTATACAGAGTATGATACATTTTAATAGATATTGTTGGTCAAAATTTTGACAGGAGAAGTGAAACACACAGTTAATAAAGAATAGTACTCTGTAGTTTCTATGTGTTTTAAGGGCAAAGCTGTCCATTTAATCATAAATGGAGCGGATTTAATCATAATGGGGTGGATTTAGCAACAGCCTATTTTTATTTCTTAGTCTTTATGTTATAAAAGAATATACATAACAATGTGTTTGAACAAATATCTACTCTAAGTGAATTTTTCAATTTTGAACCAATGTTTTTTATATATAATTTCCCTCAAATTTAATTTTCCTTCCGAACTTGCCCTCTATCTTCCATCCTATTTTCTTCCCCCATCATTTTTCTTGGGTACCAAATTAAACGTACCATCAAAGAGTCATTTTTCTTATTTAACTTGCTTGTAGCTATTTACATGACAATTGGAGTCTTGATAAGAATGTATGCATTCTCTGCAAAACGGATTCTTGAATCAGGAAAGAGCTGAAATGCAACCAAACTATGGATTTGACGGCCTGAACAAATGAAGTGTAGTGCTTGTTTGGGACATACGATTTCCGAAAAAAATGAGATTCATCTGCAGTGATGTATTTCAGGTATTTGGTTTTTCCCTAATGACCTTTTTTCCAATAGTTTATGTTGAACTTAGATATGCATGAAGAGTTTGTTTGTTTCCTACATAAATGTAGGGATGGCAATATGGTAATAACCCAGGACTTCATGGAGGGAGGGCATCTTGCTTGCCATGAAAAGACAGAGATTTCTGCAGTATGGTAATAACCCATCAACCAAACAAAACCTAAGCGCATATCCCACTCGGTTGTGTTAGGGTGACACCAAATTTACACAGACCCACACACTGTACACACACAAACCTTTACTGTTTGTGTGTGTCTCTGTAATTCTTGGGGTCAAGAAGGTGTCAGCATTTTGTGTCCCCCTAGTATTTTTGAAGGTAGAAATGGTGTTTTTGAAATCATCGCTCTTTACATTGTCATACTCTCAGTTACAATCCGAGGTCGAAAAAATTAAGGTAGAATATTAATTTAAATAGGGTTGATTTTTAAATTTAGATGCCAAGAGACAAAGCTAACTACTCCACAATATTTGTACTCCGTATAATTTAAGCATAATTGTCATACCCAGTGTTTTTTTTTTGAAACAATCATACCCAGTGTTTTAATATGGGTGTGTATTAATTATATAAGCATTGTCTTTTATATATAGACCTCTGTTTATGTGGCATGCAAACTTCTAACATGGTCCAAAATGTATGTACATACAAAATTGTTCATCCCAATTTGTAATGATGACTCATTCCAAACTTATGCTCTCTATTCCAAAAAAGAATAAAAGAATGGCACAATTTACTATTAAAAACAACTAAAAAATTTGTCTATTTGTAAGTCTATCGATTATTTGATAAAATAAAATATTCTTATCATTTCTTGTTTTGAAAATTTTTTGATGTAGCTTTTATATGTGTAAATTTTATTTTTAATTTCTATATCAATATTTAAATAAAATGAATCGAGATTTTTGCTTTGTTTTGTGTAATGTGGCAGATATTTTACACGGAAGGGATACTTTGTATTTTATTATTAAAGTTTTGTAATATAAAATCTCATACCGAAGTAAAGTATTTTACAATATACGTGGTATGAAGTATAGTACTCATTACATGTGAATTAAGACCTTGTTTGGGAGCAATTTTTTTTATTAATGTTAGTGTTTAAAATAAAAATTTAATAGTTTAGATTAAATTTGGTCTTTGTTTGCCACCACTAAATTGGAGCTATCTTTTTTTCCTCTACACGCCCGGTATATCTTTTCGCGCCATACGAAAAGCTTCCACAACAATCAGCTTCAACTGGACGAGTATATCCTCCGTATATCTCTCTCTCTCCTCCAATCATAACCATTTTAGGCATTTTCTATATAAATCTTTCTCTCTCTAGGTTCATACGTGAGCCATGGATGCTCGAGGGAACCAGAAATATGCTCGAAGAGACTCCAAATCCAGATCCATGGCGGCGGCGGCGGTGAGACAGCCCTTCGCCGACCTCTCCAACTTCAATCTCACGCCAATCGAGACTCTTTGCAAACTCTGCTGCCCCACCGCGACTGTCACCACTACTACTACCTCCGGCGCCTCCTCCGCCGGGACCTCCTACTCCAACATCGACTCCGCCGTTCTGAAACCCCCCTCTTCTGTTTCCCAATCGGATTCCAAATCCTCGAAACCCTACCTTGAGAATTCAACTGATGCTAAATCCGATACCAGTGTCGGATCCTCCTCTTTCGTCCGACTTCAGGAAACCAGAAAGTTTGGCTTCCCTCCACTCTCCCGCTCCTCACTTAACACTTCAGGTAACCCTCGCTCGTCAATTTTGAATGATTTAGCTGGTGAGGGCGATGTGCTCATCTTGTTTAGTCCAATTAGATGCTAATTTTCCGTGAAGTGTTGTAGAGGGAGTGGACAAACATTCAATTCTTCTTATACGTGATTGAATCAGTTTTCTATTTGTTTCATTTATATTTTAGGTTGCGGAAGTGAACCATAAAATTGATTCTGATTCTGTTCATGGAGAATCAGCTTTGTTCTGGATAATAATAAATTCTGCCTACTGGATTTTAGGTTAAATTGATATCTATTTTTCAGTTGGATCCCACGAAAGTAGGGTGTGGGTATACAGACCTTTTCCCCTACTTGTAAGTAGAGATGTTGTTCTTGTTGTGGATTTTAGGTTTAATTGATATCTACTTCTCTGAGGATATGTGCAAATTGTGCAATAACCAAATCCAAATTTCCATAAAAAAATTACAAAATAAAACAATCTACTCATGTGTTTGATCTGCACTTCATCGCTTAAATGATGTTTACCCCTTTTATTGTTCAGTGAATGTGTTTCTGCCTTAATATTGTTAATTCTCACAGCACATAAATCAATGCCAACATCATTGCAATTTGCATCCCTTATTTTCTTCACTTGTTACTACTTCCAGAGCTTTTGATTGAGCACATGCATTAATTGTATTTATCATCTATATTAAATCGACACATTCTTTTTTTTTTTGAAGCTTCTGCAGATGGTAAACTTGGAGTTAATGGTCAAAGAAAGACCCCTACAAAATCTAATTGGGAAAAACAAGCTACAGTTCTTCCATGTTCCACTCTTCGTGAAAGTAAAAAGGGGAAAGGGCAGGCAATTTCTGATCTCGATATTTGCTTTCCTTATGGAAGTAATAAGGAGAACGAAGAGCTTATTGGAACAGGTAACAGGGATAAAGGGAAAGAAATAGTCGAGAATGATGATTTTCTGACTGCCAAGAATAAGCAAGATAGGGGGAAGGAAGCGATTGAGGGTGTAAGTTCCCCACCTCCTAAGAACAACAAGAATAGAGTTACTGCAAGTTTGGCCATTAACAGTCCTCTTGAGAATACAAATAAAGAGAAAGATAATTTGCATCATGTTAGCCTACTGTCAACTGCGCCAAAGAAAAATAGGGGTATGGAAAGTTTTGGTTCTCTCAGTTCCCCACCTTCCAAGGTTAAGAGGGGAGGAAAGGCAACTGTGGACGATGGCTGTATACTTGATGAAGTAATGGCTGAAAAAGTATCTGGTCTGCCGTTGAAAAGGTCACCTCCAAGAAAGATTAGGGGAAGAAAAAAGCCCCACAGATTTGTTTTTAGTTGTCCTCCTTTGACAAGAACAAAGAATACAAGGTTCTTTTCTGCCCTCTCTCTATCTGTGTGTCCAAGTTTTGTAAAAAATGAGAATGTAAATGGTTTCCAGTCGCTATAACTGAAACTGAATATAGTTCGGTTTGTGTTTCCCCATTTCTTCGGTAGAATTTGCATAGTTTGTTGAATTGTTTATATACTCTTGTGAATTTGCATAATTAGAGATTTGCGAGAATTTTAATAGCTTGATATCTGCCTTTATACTACGGAGTATATAACTTGAATATGTATTTTTAGAGGCGAATAATCATCTGAACAAATAAACATGGCTCATGCATCTTCCAAATGCGAGCAAGAAATATGCAGGCAGTATTGCATCTTCTTTGCAAAGAGTTTTATGATGTCCTACAAAGCTATTGGTGTTTTAGAATACTCTGGACTCTAGAGTATGGGAGAATTTCTTTCCACTCACCAAAACATGCAAATGTTTTATAGGGTCAGATTAGTCATTTGCTAGATTTTCAGTTTTCAGTGAACTCACTTTTACAGATATCAGCAAAAAATTGCTCCCCACTGAAATAACTTATCTTGATTGGTGCAGTGTCTCTGAGGCTGGGGATGCTGAGTCATTTGGATCGATGACTGATCCCAATAAAAAGTTTGCCAAGGTGTGAAAACATTTGTCTTTTATATAAACCATTTAGGAAATGAGTATGCGATTCTTATCATTTCTCTCTTCTAAATAATTTTCATTCATTCAACTTTAACTTTTTAACTATTTTCTTAAACTTCGTGAAGTTTAAGCTTCATTTTGTAACAGATGGAATAGTTTTTTCGTTGTTGGTGCATTTACTAAGATTCCATGTCTAGCAGATATCTTTGTATGAAATCCACTTTCATTCTTCCTTGTATATGAACCCAAGATGTGCATACGGTTGGGAATAGGGAATGCATGAAGTATGAACCCATAGGGGGGAAAGGAGGGCCAAGCTATGAAGGCCATAAACTTTCAATGCTATGCTGTGTAACAATATTAAAAGGAGCAAACAACTAACTGAAGTTTTGCTTGCAGAAGAGGCGATCAGAGGAGCAGCCTTTCACAGAATTTGTGTTGCCAAAAGACTTTGTGGAGAAGCAGAGGGCTTATTTTAAAGAGATCGATGATTTCGAGCTGGAAGTGGAAGAAGCATCAGAGTGATATTTTACCATAAGAAGATCATGTAACACACAAATTCTGTAGGTGGTATAATCTAACAGGTATGACCGACCCTTCCTGTATAGTACAGTGGCTATAGAAGTCGGAAGGTGATTGGGTAGAAAATTACTATCAAAGACAAGATGGCAGGGGTGTTCTTGTGTATAGGGTTGTTACTGCGTTTTATGACCTCAAAAATTGAAATCAGTCTGACTTCCCACTGCCGTGGTTTTATGTGCACAAGAAAAGTGGCAAATGTGTGTCTCTGTTTATTGTGGATTGATAAATAATTAGTGCTATTTACTAAAAAGGATTTCCATTTTCTAGGAGTCTTTATTGGTAAAGACTTGAGAGGTTAGGACATGAAACTTAAATTTCCACTTCTGTTAATTACCAGCCTAAAGAAAATATGCTAGGCAAAAGACCACGTCGACCGATGTTGCCTCGGGGCTATCAAAATTGACATTGTTTTTTTCTCATCCATTTGCGCAGGGCAAGAAGTTTTTAACTAATCTAAGGAATGGACAGACATAGGCCAAAACGTCTAGATGTAACTCAGGTTACACAAATTTGAGACGTGGTTTTAGTTCCCGTACAAATCCATAATGATCATTTTAATGTTCTGCCACATTTGATCATTTTAGTCATCGAGTTCATGTTGTGGAATGATACGACAACAATTTAATCTATATATCTATGTGGCGTAATGAGTAATGGTGTGTCAAATGTATCTTACAACGGTAAAATATGCGAGAATATATCGAGTTGGGAGTCATACTAATTTTAGTTTTGTGGTAGTTTCACTTCACTTTTTGAACCGTCAAAGCCAAAAGTGTTACTATCATTTAGAATTGGTGTATTCTTTTTTACAAACCTTCCAATTATGTCGGTATTGAGGTGATACAATTTGAGATGGACTTTGAGTGTCATATACGGCCTTGGAAATTTCATTGTCTGCTCGTTCATTAAAATTTGACAGCAACAATTCCATCCTTGGAATATTATTCATAGGGTCATGCTAGGTGTGCTTTGCACAGGTAACACAGATGTGCGAAGCATGAGTGCACTCATAGTGGCACCCATGTGGTGAAACCCTATCATTTTTCTTATTCATAAGGTACTCCCGACTGAAACATCTCCATTTTTGCAATAGTTTGAGTACACCTCTATGAAATTCTGGGTAGAAGATTAAACAAAGGTTGATATTACACATTTTGTGTTAATTCGGTTACTACATCTAAAATGGTATCATTAGAGATGTGTCATGTTAGTTTTAATTACATTGCACTCCCTACATTCCGAATTAATTGCAATATTTTTCTCTTTAGTCTGATAAAAAAAAGTGTCATACTTTTTTACTTTCCTAAGACACAACTTATTGTCTTATCTTGCATTGAAATGTTTTCTTTTACGTTTTTTGAAACATAATAACACTACTATGCACACTTCTTTTGACTATTACACCTTCAACATGTACTTTCTCATATTCTAGGAACAATATTGAACAATCTAAGAGTTGAATCATAGAACCATGTTTGAATCGTGGTTTGGATTTGGAAAGAGTACATGGATCTGACTTGGCTTGTGGTTATAAACAATTCTCTCTTATTGAAACTACATACTTATGGTCAGACATCTTATGTTGTATGGAGTAGAATGTTCGGCGATAAAGAACACTCTCATTAAGAAGCTCTGATTAATTCGTGATTTAAATTTCTTTGCAAGAGATTTGTTAGTGATTAAAGTTTAAGATGTTTAATTTAAATGGAAAAGTCAAATCTGAAAAGAAAAGAAAAACAATCCACGTCCATAAGCTTCACACCATATGCAGCCTTTGAAAATGTGAAGATTTCATCTTCTTTTTTTGCGTTCCCACGAACCATGCATACGTCCATATAAGCTTTACACCACACACATATCCAAATAATTTTCCTTTTTTTCAACCATATCTTATACCAATCTTAAATCTTTTCAAGGTTGTCAAACTCTGATTAATTCAACGCAGGAGAAATTAATCTCTTTTTTTACTCTGTATTATTAGACGGTGAAATTATTTCTTCTTTCTTTATTTACATAGTGTATGTTAAATTCGTTAATCATTGGTAATATTTTTTTAAAAATATTATGCTTTTAAATATACTTCCTCCGTCCCATGAAACATGAGACTTTTGCTTTTTAGGAGAGATTTAAGAGGAGTGTATTTTAGTATTGAATTTCAAAATGTCCTTTAATGTGATGGGTAAAAGTATGATTTGATGGATAGATTATTAGTAAAAAGGTATGATGTGATAGTTATGGTATGAAAAAGTAAGGGGTAAAAGTAACTTTTTAATAGAAATGAGAAGTGTTTTGTGGGACGGATAAAAAAAGAAAGGAGAAGTGTTTCATGGGACGCAGGGAGTACATTAACAGTCGATAACTCACCTACAGATACACTTCCAATCTCACCACTAACCAATTCACCTACTCATTGTTACTCAATCTGTCCCTGAGTATTTGTCTACTTTTCACTTTTTCCGGTCAAAATTAGTAAATTTTGAATTCAAATTAAATAAAAATAACATTATATATTGATACAAAAATAATTTTATTAAATTTATTATATCAAACATTTTCAAAATATTATTTTATCGACGATTACTTTTATTTGGATGACAATGTCACTATTACATCTTCTCGATGATAACTTTTATTTGTTTCTATGTTTTTAATGATTGTTTGATAACATTAAATAGATCTTATCCCTCTTGCTTTAATTTGTAGATTTTTTTATATACTTTTGAACAATATATTTTATACTTTTTATTTCTTTACAAATTTATTTTTAAAATCATTTTAAAAATGAGTAAAGTTCATTGTTTACCCCTGTATTCTTTAGAAATTGCATGTTTTACTCCTGAACTATAAAAATTGCACCGTTTACCCTCGAACTCCTCGAAAATTGCACGATTTACCCCTGCATACTAAAAAATGCACCAAATATCCTTGAACAAATTATACCATTGCATCGCTGGTCCTAAACTATTAGATAGGGAGTGCGTTGCTTCCACGCACAATAATTGCGAATATGATTTATCTGACCCTAGTAAATTTTTTAAAGTACCTTTCTCCAAAATTATCATCTTTATTTAAATGTTCAGGAGTAAACAGTACAATTGTTGAAGAGTTTAGGGATATTTGGTGCAATTTTTATTGTTCAAGGATAAAGCGTGCAATTTTTGAAGAATTCAGGGATATTTGGTGCACATTTTAATGTTCGGGGGTAAATCGTGCAATTTTTAAAGAATTTGAGGGTAAACGGTGTACTTTTCTCTTTTAAAAATATAATACTAAAATTTTGAACGTTATTTAAAGTATGATATTATTTGTGGGAGGAAGGGAGTATTACTTTTTTATCACTATTGTACGGAATATTGTTAGTGGTACGAGTAATTGGAGCAAATGATTTGGACTGGTTCAAATCTTTGGTTCCAACGTTGGCATCAAATAATACTCCCTCCCTCCCCAATTTGATTACAAATTGCGGGTTACGGAGTAAAATTTCTTACTTTTTGAAATCATTTTATTTACAAATTGGTATATCAATACGATATAAAAATTACATATTAAAAAATTACGTCAAAAGTTCTACAAAAACAAGACGTGACAAGAATATTTTATTTTGTCAAATACTTAGTGAAATCGCGTAAACAAACAAAAGTTATTGAGAGGAGAGAGAAAAAAAGATTGTAATCTATTTAGGGAGGGTGGGAGTAAAAAGCATTTATGCATTTCCTGTTCCCGCACCTACATTTTTGTTTGGTAGCCGCCCTAATTTTAATGAATCCGGGGCTACAACAATGTCTCCCTTCCTTGACTTTTTCAAATTAATTATGATAAAATATTAATCTTTTCTTTAAATAAAATTTTCATTACATATTAAAATAATGAAATGAATTTTTTAGTTCGTTTAATAATTTTTTAATAAAATTGTTCTCACATATAATGTAGATTTTGTTTACTTCACTTTCAAAATTAATTCAAAATAGAAAAGGTCAAATTAATACTCCCCCGTCCTCTAATGATCTTCCCGGTTCGCAAAACGAAGAAAAATCCCAAGTTTTTTCAATCTATTTTATTTAAATATTGGTATAGAAATAAAAAATAAAACATACATATTTAAAAACTACACCAAAAGTTCAACAAAACAAGTGGTGACAAGAATATTTTATTTTATCATATTGGTCATGAAAAGACACAAATAAATATAAATTCCCGTGAAACTAGAATAGTGCTCTGGAAAGATCATTATAGGACGGAGGGAGTATTAAAAACGATATACTCCCACCGTCACAAAAATTAAAGGCACAGTTTGGTGAAGTAATGAAGATTTAATGTGTTATTATGGACTCTCTAAATTCACCACGGATGTGATCTTGATGTGATGTAATTGTAATAAGACCGAGTATGTAAAAGTGATTGAAAAATGTAGAAGTACGTGAATGAGCTGATCGAAGTAAGATGAAGTATATAAGATTGATTGAAAAAGTAAAAAAAATCAAAAAAATATTTTTAATAAATCGAATATGCCAAATATGATAATGCCCTTTAATTATGAAATTTCTAAATTAGAAAGTGTGATTTTAGTTTTGGGACGGGGAATAAGTATTATAATCATTCCGTTCTTAAAAATACTTCTTCTTTCATATTTTCCACTTCCAACAAGACACTTAGCTTTCACTTTATATAGAAAACCACTTTTACCCTTACTTTTTCATATCCTATCTATCACATCATATTTTTCTCTTAATAATCTATCCATCTAATCTTATTTTTACACATAACCTTCAGAGTAAAATTGGAAGTCACCTATAATTTAATACTTTTTTAATTTTACACTGGATCAGAACATGAACTTTTTTTTAAAATGGATGGGATAAAAAAAATTGAGGAATCACATCACATAAAGTTTAGGACCGACAATATATTTGCGCCGGCCACCTGTTATATACCATACTCCCTACGTACTCATCTATATATTCGTGCCAGGAACACTACTTGATTTCCAAAATAAGCTAATACCACGTGGTTATTAGTGAATTGAAGCCATTATATAATAAGCTTAATTACTCCATACTATAATCAAATAATGGCTTCCTCTGCAGCTACTAGCAGTAAGTTTTTGAGCTTATTATTATTACTACTATTGTTGCTGCTTGTTGGAGGCTCCATAGCTCAGCTCTCCCCGCAGTCGTTTTACTCAAACTCGTGCCCCAATCTTTTACCGACGGTGAAAAACGTCGTCCAGGCTGCCATCCAGAAGGAAACCCGCATCGGCGCCTCTATACTCCGCCTCTTCTTCCACGACTGCTTTGTCAATGTACTTATTACTACTCTGATTTAACTCATGTGTCTTATATTATACTCTATCTGTCCATGTAAGATCTTTCCATTACGCGTTACGAGGCTTGACCGATTTTATTTTCAATTCAATTTAATTGATTATAGGAGTAATATTTTAAAATAAAATTGATATAATAATAAACTACATGAAAAGTTCATAAAACTAGAGGTGAGAAGACTATATTATTTTATGAAATGACTAGTAAAAATGAGCAAACAAAGTGAGTAAAATTTGACCCTGTGAATAGTATCTTGGAAGATCTATGGTGGACAGAGAGAGTATAAGATATATGTACTGCTCTACTTAATTGGGTGAATTGGATCTACAATTGATTTTTATTTTGTGTGCAGGGGTGCGACGGATCGCTCCTCCTTGACGACACGTCTTCCTTCATAGGAGAAAAAAACGCGGCCCCTAACTTCCAGTCCGCGCGTGGATTCGAGGTCATCGACAACATCAAGACCGCAGTCGAGAAATTGTGCCCCGGTGTTGTTTCTTGCGCTGATATTTTAGCTATCGCCGCTCGCGACTCTACTTCCATAGTAAGTTAGCAAAGGCTCTTATATCATGTCAAGAAACATTACAAGTTCAAACTTGTACATAGTTTTAGATTCATGAAAGGTTTTTTATACTCTAATAGTAACAGTATGTATGTATGTATGTGTATGTATATATATGCAGCTTGGAGGGCCAAGTTGGAATGTGAGCCTTGGGAGAAGAGATGCCAGGACGGCAAGCCAAGGCGCCGCCAACAACAGCATTCCTCAGCCTACGTTCAACCTCAATCGTCTCATGTCCAGCTTTAGTGCTGTCGGTCTCTCCACCAACGACATGGTTGTTTTAGCAGGTCTGGTTTTAACTCGTCACTTAGCTTACTCTCTTCTTCCATATTATTCTTCTAATTTGATTTTTCACGATCTCTATTGCAATATATACTTTGACCACTTATTATGTATAAACATGGATTATAAAAATACAATATTTCAAAATAAAATAGTGATATTAATTTTGAGGAATTTACATAAATAGCATTAAAACATAATGACTTTTTCTAAATAGCATTACATGTGTTTTTTTTCTCAATGTAACACTTTTAGTTATTATCCATTAGTCATTACTCAAGTAAATAATCGCCATTACTGGTCATTATGGACATTGGAAATAAAACAATTTAAGTGCTATTTAGAGAAATGACTTAATTTAGTGCAGATATTTCATTAATTTTATCTTAAAATTCAGCGTATTTTTTCAATGATAATTAGTAAAATACCAATGAAGTTTGACTTTTTCTTGTGACAATTACTATTCAGGGGCACACACAATTGGGCAGGCAAGGTGCACCAATTTCAGGGCAAGAATATACAACGAGACAAACGTGGACGCGGCCTTTGCCCGGAACAGGAGAAGCGGCTGCCCGAGGGCAAGCGGGGCAGGGGACAACAATTTGGCGCCACTCGATCTCCAGACGCCGACCAAATTCGACAACAGTTACTACGTTAACCTGGTGAGCCGGAAGGGGCTTCTTCACTCCGACCAGCAGCTCTTCAACGGCGGCGCGACGGACTCCGCCGTGCGCCGGTACAGCTCGAACCCCGGCCAGTTCGCAGCCGATTTCGCGGCGGCGATGATTCGGATGGGCAACATCAAGCCCCTCACCGGAAGGAATGGAGAGATTAGAAAGAACTGTAGGGTCAGGAATTGATCGCGTTCTTAATTAATTAGCTCGAATGTTAATGTTGGAGGTTTTAGCTTGATACTCTCCTTTAATTTGATCGAGTTTATGGATTTAATTAAGAATAGTACAAGAGTCAAATGTATTGTGTGCTATTCAATGTAGACTTGTTTGTATTTGCAACGAAAATAAATCATGTCCTATGGATTAAGAATCCTTAATAAAAAGTTACCAAAATGCTTCTTTACTCTATTAGTTTTAGTAGCCTAGCCATTACAATGATTGATATAATTCTTCTTACCATCAAATCTCTATATAAGGATTTAATCTCCCTATCTAAAATGTTTTTAGATGTTATAATGAATAACTTTTATATCCCCTAGTAACACGTTGTTATATACTTATAAGAAGTTGTACGTACATGCTAACTCGTAAGTACAAATACAAACAACGGAGTATTTGTATTTTAATTGTCTTTACAGTTTTGCACAAATTCAACTTGCATTGTTTTCGTTTTCATGTTAGTTGACACATTAATTGTTTATATTAAATTTTATACTTGGTACAAGTTTTCTATCATCTTCACATTCTATGAATTTTTAAAATAGTACGAACTTGTACCAAAAATAGTTCAGGAAAATGGGCATTATTTATTGTTATCAAAGCATAAATACTTCGTATGATTCATTTGTACTAAAAAATTATTGTAATATTTAAAAATCAGATACTCCATAGTATCTACTAATAACCTGAATATTATTTAATATACTACTATTGCTTCTTTTATTTTTTAAAGAAAAATTTGCTTCATATAGGATTAAAAGATGGTACGTTTCACAAGATAGGACCAAATATGTTTTATTCTCTTTATGACATATAATGTCTTATGATCTGTCATATATGTCCTAATTAGCAACAAACATTGGATAATGACTTATTATACGAATGACTCTACGAAGGTGGTAATTAATTAGCAATAAGCGTTAGAAAATGACTGCTTATTTTAATGATTATTCAAATTGTTTTTAAACAATACTCTCTCCCTTCTCAAAAACACTTCCTCTTTCATTTTTTCTACTTCCAACAAAACACTTCCCCTTTCTATTAAAAACTCACTTTTATCCTTACTTTTTCATACCTTATCTATCACATCATACTTTTTCTCTAATAATCTATCCATCACATCTTCTTTTTACCCATCACATCAAGAGTAAAATTGGAAATCAATTATAATTTAATACTTCCTTATTTTTGTCCCTAAATCAAAATGGGAAATCTTTTTGCAAACGGAGGGAGTATCTTTTTTTAATTGAATTGTGTAATTAGGCAGTTTTCAAAAGCATGACATTAACTTTTCAATGTTAAACATTAGAATAGATAAGACTAATTCTATTTATGGAAAATTGTATGTTTAAGTTCCATTTACATAAATTACTTTTTTTTTAAATTCCGATCAACTACATAAAAGTCTGATACTCCCTCCGTCCCTAAATATTTACAACATTTGCTTTTTCAGCAGTGTCGGGAACTTTTTTTTATTTTGATGTTTTCATTGATTATTTGATAAAATAAAATATTTTTGACACCTCTTATTTCGAAGAACTTTTCATGTAGTTTTTTTATATATAAATTTTATTTTTTATTTTTTTACCAATATGTAAATAAAATGAATTGAAAAAACTTGATATTTTGCCTCGGGAATACAAATGTGGCAAATAATTTGGGACGGAGTATGTTACATACTATAAAAACACATTAACAATTGATCCTTAGTCTACTTTTTTTTCGGTTGACGTCCAGTCCGTTTCAGAATATTGGGTCAAATGAGGGTTCCATTGGGCCAAAAATGATCGCAGGAAAGCTTTGGGCCACTTTTTTTATTCCCAAAAAAAGGCGCTAATAATACTCCGTAATCCAGTCCCAGCGCGCGCATAAATATACATCCTACACGACCAAATTTTGTATAACACTAAAACAATGCCCCTTTCTTTTAATAGCACAAGTGTTAGAAAGCCACATGTTTTAATGACGCAGGGATGAGGAAAAGACTATAATGACCTTCACTCTTATTTTTATAGATCTGTACAATCGTGCAGCCCTTTTCCATTCAAATCGCGGGGATCTCGAAAATCACGGAATTTCCTTCGATGGGTTCTCGTTGTAGAAGGCAATTTGCACACAAAATTTGGGATGGAATAAGATGTGGATGTCAAGAAGTGCTTTCTTAAACCCTAAATTAACTAAACGCAGAAGGGGAGATTTGAGAAACAGAGAGAAAAAATTATGAGGGGGGTGGGCGACGAAGACAGAGAGAACAAATAGAGAGTCACCGATTGTGATGTCGGCGAGGAAGACGACGATGGCTACTGGAGTTGCTCTTGACGACAACATCGACTTTGTTGATGAACAGGGAAATGAAATTACTGTCAAATGCGTTTCTGGAAAGGTTAGTTTGTTAAACTTATAAAATTCTTTTAGAAATTATTGAGAGAGGAGATGTTTTTGTTAGTGTTTATGAAGCTTTGTGTTCTTTTACTGAAAATTAATGTATTATAGTGGTTTAGTGTGTTGCATGTTTTGGGGTTTTTTGAATGAGAATTAATAGACAGTGTAGAGGATTGTGGGATTAAGAGGGTGTTGTTGTTTGGATGTGCATATTATTAAAGATTAAGCATGATGGAGAGGTTTTGAGGGAATTGAAAACCTATTCAGTAGAAAGTGAGTGTAGTGTTTCCTTAGGGTGATATAGTGTTTTTTAATGGTCAGTGTAGTGTGAAATGAGTTTTTTTTATGGTCAGTATGGTGTTATATAATGGTCACTAAGAATTGTTATGCCCATGTTGGTTGGTCAGTGTGTTTTTTTAATTGTTCAGTATAATATGTAATGGTTACTATGAAGATTAAGGATAATTTAGAGGTCAGTGTTTAAAAACAGTGCAGTGTTGTGGGATTAAGAGGCCAGTGTTGTTTTAATGTGCATAGTGTTGAAGACAAAGGATAATTTAGAGGTTTTGAAGGAATTGAAAACCAATTCACTACCAAGTGTGTGTACTGTTTTCTTAGGGTCAGTGTAGTGTGAAATGAGTTTCTTTTTTTTATGGTCTGTATAGTGTTCTATAATGGTCACTAGAAATTGCTATCTCCATGTTGGTTGCAATAACAATTAGGTTTTTAATGACCAGAGTAGACTAGTGGAGTGTGTTACATATATTGTGAGTGTTTATTATTTCCAAAGTTTTTAGAAACAGGGCAGTGTTGTGGGGATTAAGAGGGCAATGTTGTTTGAATGTGCATAGTATTATAGATTTAGGATTATTGATATGTTTTGAGAGAATTTAAAATCAATCCAAAACATTGGTAGTAGAATGTACTAACTGCTATACATGAATGAACCTAGAAGAATGGTGTTTTGTGTATTCGTAGAAGATAATGTCTATTTTTTAAGTATGTTGTGACATGTGAGATGATCTATATTGTTTGTATGCTCTGCATAGTGTTCTATAATGGTCACTAGAAATTTCTATCTACATGTTGGTTGCAATAACAATTATTGTCAGTAGAAATTTTTAATGACCAGAGTAGACCAGTAGTGCAGTGTGTTACATATATTGTCAGTGTTTAATATTTTTAAAGTTTTTAGAAACATGGCAGTGTTGTGGGGATTAAAAGGGAGTGTTGTTTGAATGTGCATAGTATTATAGATTTAGGATTATTGATATGTTTTAAGGGAATTTAAAATCAATCCAAAACATTGGCAGTAGAATGTACTAACTGCTATACATGAATGAACCTAGGAGAATGGTGTTTTGTGTATTCGTAGAAGATAATGTC